CGTTGCCGGTTAGTTCTTGACCGTAAAAAGAACAAAAGCCCACATATTCGACATTGTGGTAGCTTGTTATTCATAACGCTAAAATCCGTGCTTCACACGCACGGGGAATTTTATCCCGAATCCTGAGCAGGGATTAGTCAACGCCTAACACGTGTTGTCGGTTTTATCTTTCACTGATTGAAGAAGACACCAGAGTCCAAGTCTGAGGAATTTTATCCCGAAGCCTAAATAGGAATAAGTCAACGCCTAACACACGTTACCGGGTAGTCTATTCCCGTGAGAAGGACAAAGTCTATGTATTCAATATCGTAGCACTAAGAGAGTTAACTTCCTTAGCACAACGTCACATGTGGAACGGACTTAAATAATCCACATATTAGCCCGACTCAAACGGTAGTCAATAAAGGCTCATCAAACCCGTTGATGGCTGAGGGTTTGCCAAAAATCCTATATATGCGAAAGTCACTGACGCACCAGCCCCATTAGTTGGTCTCGTGACTTGGGCATCCAACAACTTCGGGATAAGATCCACACATGCAGGTGAATCAGCTTTAATAGTTGGTCCTGCAGCCTAATATTTGGGACTGTCACGCTCCAACGCCTTAAGAGTTTAAACTGTGTAGACTCCAGCAAACGTACGAGTATAAACTGTGTTAACGTTGGTCAACGCGTTGCGATGAAAGTCAACGTCGATCGATACAAAACCCTAAGGTTAACGCCGGTCAACGCGTAGCCTAAGGTCAACGCCAATCAACGCGTTACGATGCAGCTAATTAGTTCAAAGTCAACTCAATGACACGAGCCAAAATCAACTTATCAATTTCGATTCAAGACTTCGATAACGGTCAGACGATAAACGCAGCACTGACAAATTTTTAGCTATTCGACAAAATACTAAATAGACTAAAAAATGAAGAAGTCAAGAACTGAAGCAAATTATAGGTCCTTTAACACAGATTGAGGGTGGGGGGTATATCACATCCAAAGCATTTCAGACTCATCTATAAAAGAACGAGGCTAAAACACTTTGGAGGGGGTATCTGTAGGCATCTAAAATTGCCTACAATGTCCCGAACGCAACTCGAAATGAAGAGTGAACGCGTCAATCAGCTCGCACGCGTCAATCAGCTCGCACGCGTCAATCAACTCAAAGCTACCGAACATACTTGTCAGTCAACATGCGCTCGTCGGTCAGATCCAAAGTGCCCGACATGCTTATCGGTCAGTTCCAAGTGCCGTAAAGAAGCTAACGAGCGCATGAAGTAAGTTAGCAAATCGTACAAGTCAACAAGACGGTCAAATATGCAAAACGGTGGAAAATACAAGTCCCGGAAAAGTCAAAAAACACAAAGTTCAGCAAAAGGCCAGACTACCCGCGCCCCCCACAGGTCGGATTCACCCGTCACGCTGTTTTGACCCCCGGACGTGTTTTTGACAGTTTTGAGCGGTTTTCTCGAGATTATCTGTTCCAAGGGTTCCTAACTGACTTGATATCATCCACAAACATGATTAGACCGTTATTGACTGAAGATATGACCAAATCTATCATTCTTATCCGAAAACCCCCCAACCGAAGCCTATAAATACAGGCTTAGGGGCTTAATTCACATGGCGAATTATTATTAAGAGGGCGAGGTCTGCCGGATTGAGGAGTCAAAGGAGCACGAATTTATAGCGAATACAAGTTAGATCCCGACGAACTTCAGCATAAAGAGGAAGGCTTTCGAAGGATATGAACCTGTATCTTCTCCCGTCCGTCCGTTCCTCGAGATTAGGCTTGGTCTTAATCTCGAGAAGAGCTACTGATTTCGCTTGGTCGATTTTAACGCTTCAAGCGAATACTTCCTTACTGAGGTAGGAGCTCTGTCAATTTTTTGTCAACCGGATCTGATCCGTAGGCGGTCCACGAATATCGACATCCCCGGCACATGTAAAGATACCACACAAGCAGAAGACCGATAAACAATCTCTCTGTATTTGTTTGATAAAGTTGTAAACTTTTTATTTTCATTATGTAAGGAGATCTTATAAAAAGATCAACTTTTTTATTTTATTTGAGTTTATTGTAACAACCAAAGTTGTAATAGATTCAATGACAATGAAAGCAACTTTTGAACCAAACAAATTGTTAATCATATTTGTTTGATCAGTGTATGGACTAAAATGCGACATTAGTTAAAATAAATTTCTGTGTAATTAGATATCTTGTTTCAAGAAATTAATATTTGTAAATGCGACATTAGTTAAAATAAATTTCTGTGTAATTAGATATCTTGTTTCAAGAAATTAATATTTGTATTAAATATTTAATTAATTTAAAACTTTTCTGTGTAATTAGATATCTTGTTTCAAGAAATTAATATTTGTATTAAATATTTAATTAATTTAAAACTTAATAAGTAGACATATTAAGTTGTAAATATATGCTAATTTTACAACAGATGTAGATGGATATGGTAGATGGAGAAGAATTAAAGAGGATATGTGCTAATACAGCTGTTTCCGCCGTGGTTACGTTAGTAACTTATTTTGAGAATGCGTGCTAAACGCAAGACAATTTCAACGTGTACGCATGAAGAAAAGATTAAAAAAATATATTACAGAGAATCGCACTTCAGACGTGTATCGGAAGACTATAGTGATAGCTGTCGGACTTATATTAGAATAAGACCGAGGGCCTTTTTCAAGTTGAAGAACAGCTGGCTATGTTTCTAAGTATTGTGGGTCATAAAACTAAAAATAGAATAATAAGGACTGAGTTCATAAGATTAGGAGAAATAGTTAGCAGGTGTTTCAATAAAGTCCTACAAGCAATGAATGAGTTACGTGATCGCTACATGAAGCAAGCTTCAAATGAAGTTCTCATGGAGATTGCAAACAACTCAAATTATTTTCTTTACTTTAAGGTAAATTAAATACATACATCTTAACTTCTCTTATAAAAAAATAACATTTTTATTGAACTTTGTATAATTTATAATTTTTTATAGTACTACATTGGTTTGATAGATGTCACACACGTCGACGCAGTGTTTTTGGTTGTCAGGTGAAGCTAATTTGTTGCCCCTTTGCTGTGGGTTTTTGGTTGTCGGTGGAGCTTGTGTAGCTCCTTGCCTTTGGGTTTGTTGCTGTTTTGTTTTGAGCTTGTGTAGCTCCTTGACTTTGTGGGGTTTTGGCTGTTATTTGGAGCTTGTGTAGCTCCTTACCTTTCATTTTTTTTGCCAGCAGGATTTTGAGCTTGTGCATCTCCTTCACTTGGGTTTGTTGAATACATTTGTTGAGCTTGAGCATGTTTTTGGCTTTTTTTGGGGTTTTGGCTTTCTGGTGGAGCTTGTTTAGCTCTTTGGCTTTTTATCTGTGGAGCTTGTGTAGCTCCTTGTCTTTGGGTTTGTTGTTGTCGGGTTTTGAGCTTGTGTAGCTTCTTGTCTTTGGGGTTTTGATTGTTACTTTTTTCAAAGTAGCCCCGTTGTTATTGGGTTTTGAGCTTGTGCAGCTCATGCACATTTGGGTTGGTTGATCGTCGGTTGTTGAGGTAACTTACAGTTGATATTTGGCAACGATGATGATTAGCGTTTACGGAGAATGCAATCTAACTTATAGTGTTTATTATATTCAGATGAGGCAAAAGGTGATGAGATTGCAGCCTACATTAAATTGAAAATGCCTAGGCGAGACAATCCATCCTTAGAATGCAATCTGTAATACCTGTAAGTTATAGGTGGGGCATTCAATTTTGACAAGTTGATCTATTCCTGATCCATACAATATCAACTGGAATTTGTACCCAATTCCAATAATAGTTTTTATTACAACATCAATAGTTTTTGCAAGTACAAGTACATGACATGTAGTTTATAATAATTAAAATAATACAAAAAATTGCTAATAAAATTGCTGAAATTTTCCAAGCTAATAGTTGTTTATAATAATTAAAATAATACAAAAAATTGCTAATAAAATTGCTGAAATTTTCCAAGCTAATAGTTGATTTTCGACAAGTCTCAATTCTTTCTTCAATAAAATTGCTGAAATTTTCCAAGCTAATAGTTGATTTTCGACAAGTCTCAATTCTTTCTTCATCCTCTTCGATTGCAAAATATATTTATTTCTGTATCTATTTTCTTTAACATACTGGCTTCATTGGTTGCTTATTTCTCCTCTTTCATCAGCCCATTCGAAAAATTGCATTCTTTATTTGAGAATTTTGCACACCCCCAATAACATCTTCCCTTATTTTTACCATTCTTGCACACTTTCATCGGTGTTCGGAGATTACAATCGCAATAAACTTCATAATTTTGGGAGCATTCTTCTGATATCATATTGATGTCAGGGAGGCAAATTGCAAACAATGAGAATTTATAAATTGGTGAGAATGGAGAATGCATTGGAAAATTTGAGGCCTCAAGTTAAATTTCTAGCCTCCAAGGCATTAGAACTAGTCGTTGCTACAGTGTTTCGGATTTGAATATTAAGGTAGTTGTTGGAACTAGCCGTTACTACAGTGTTTTTGTTTTGAATACTGAACTAGTCGTTGCTACAGTATTGATCCCAAAAAAATTTCATTCTGAACCAAACTAGATATTAGATATTGGAGGGTTTCTATAAAAGTGAGATTCTATTTTTCCATGGGGTAAAACAAACATAGAATGCAAAAAAATGGGATTCCATAAACTTCAAACTTGTCTTAAAATTTTTTCTAGAATAGGTAGGAATCCAAAAAAAAACCGGATTCCTAATCCTATTCTTGTTTATTTGTGAAACAAACAGCCCATAACCAAACGGTTCCCAGCTCCACAGCACGGGGTAAGAGTACAGAGATGAGCACATCAGCACCTTAATTTACCCAACAACACACAATAGATGCTCATCTACGATCACCATATGCCTTTTTAATGCTACACGATAAAATTTAGATACAAAAAAACATTGCCATATCTCCACACTTGAACAAAGTTTAGAATTTCTTGTATGCTCTTGAAGAACAGAACTAATATCTTTCAGTATGCTGTGATGAGCAGCAAGCCAATTGCTGTGATGACGAGTGTCGATGGGACCCCAAATCGCAAATGGGTGAAGAAAGAGAGGTTGTAGCCAAAAGATTGAGCTCGGCGGGCCTGCTCACAGACAATCAAGTTGGCTGCAGATCCCAATAAGGTCAAATTTCCAGCTACTGTGCTTACCCATGCCAATATGAGCCATGCTTTCGTCTCTTCGGCTGCAGATATTTTTGCTGCTGATGCTGCCACCCTTGCACCAAGCAGGAGAACTGCCAGCAAGTAATTAATGAAGATTGAATCAATAATCAAATTTTCACACAACAGCACCATGAACAACAACATTAACAACAAGAACAACAACAAGAATAACAAAGTCTTTTATTCCATATTTGTTTGATCAAGTGACAGCAGCTCCTCCAATTATGATAACATCACCATCCAAATTGCCGACATGACTTTCTATCTCAAATGACTCTTCCTAGCATCTGTTGCAAGTATTTCTAGCCTTCTATTAGTGCATTCAAACAAACCTTAGCACTTACCTTGATCAAATTGATTGGACATATATTGGTTTCTGTTTTCTGCGTGCCAATACACAAGTACTTTCTCGGTTTATCCTATATCCACTGACTAATGTGCTTTGTATTTGTGTCTGAGTCATGATGATTTGTTACCATAAGAATAGGGCGTGTTAAATCTTTCATAGATATCCTATATATGCCCTCTCAACGTGTGCCCTTAGGAGATGATATCATTTTCAAGAGTCTTATTCACCGTCCTTATTTGTAGCTACATACATACAGTACATCCTTTTCTATCTTAGTATTGGTACAACATGAAATCATTTCTATAGGAAAATTCACAAAGGCATTCTGAAGATTCTTTTGCTCCTTCTGCGGAAATGGTCATCATTTCCCTGTAATGATGAAAATATTATGTTCTATATAACTCATTACACAGGCTAACATAGAATTTTGCCGAATATTATAAGCTCCGAGCCTCCCTCCTACAAACATGCTTTTATGCTTATCAATGCTTATAAATTTAAGCATGTTTATAGAAAAGGGCTCTTCTTGAAGGAACCCGAGTTACCAGATTCTTCCAAGCTTGTACTCGCTACACGGCTACAGGCACATGGTATGCTACTGTGGGATATGGATCAGGGAGGGGTAAACTTAATTTACTTGATGTTTGGTATCACTGTAAACCCAGAAGCATTTTGTGTGGCAAATGAAAAATGATGTAGGTGCACTTTTGAAAACATATAACAAACAATTATGTAGACATCTTATCTTTTAGAAAGAACATAGAAATCGCACTATCTTAATTAAACACAACAATCACAATTCTAATTATTAAATAATTGAACTCCAAAATTTAAAGTTGTTAAGTCTCTGAACTTGCAAATTAAATCTATTAAGAAAATACTCAATATTAACTGAAGACATAATGAAGAGCTACTTAAATTAATTAGTCACATTCTCATCTTTTAATTCCCAGGTTACCACTTTAGCGATCCGGATAAGGACTACCTTTATTAACTGCATCTATCTTCCTTTTCTAGTGAACATCAGAAGTAACAATCGATCAGCCGCAATGTGACATTAATGTCTGGGGTTCAAATGTTCTAAGTTTTATCTAGTGATGCATTATTAATGCAAAACATATGTTCTCCATGCACTTGAGCAAAATTATCATTCATTGAAAATAGTGATTCAGGTACAAAACCAAACAAGGCATTTCTAGTAGAAAATTTTGACATTCCATTCTGACTTTGTCTTAGCACCTAGTAGGATACTAACAGGATAAAAAAGGTAGTCATCACCATACCAGTTGGCACATTGGAGGCAACATTTGAGAGGAAAAGAATAACAAGGGCCAGAATAGCAATTCCTGCAGCACTATCAACCTGCGCATGTGGTTCCATGAAGTCCCATAAAGCACTTGGTGTGCCAGTTTTATTGAAGCCATCGACGGTAATGAACATTCCACAGAAGAATATCAACAGTGAGTATGAAACCTGGTTCAGCATCGGACACTGTATCAGCAAATATTACCTAAGCTGCATTGTTGTGAACTTCAAGACTCGACAACTTTGAGACGAATGTTCCAATTGAAAAGGAAAAACAGGAAATATTTACTTCAGTAGTAATTTTGCCTATTTTACATCTGCAAAGAAGGAAACCAAACATCAAGTTAGTTAAGTTGCATACCTTCTCAAGGCATGGACGGGCATCCTTAAAATCTAACACGACAAGTGCAAGAGCAGCAGTTATAGCAGTCCAAGACATGTCAAGACCCATTAGCAGAGCGACAAGCATCCCCAGTGTTACAAGATAGACACATGCCTTCCACAAGACATTCTTCCATCTCTCTGTTGAAGCTTCCTTCTCCTGTGGAGACACGAAATTGTCTCCCTCTATCACAGATCTCCCGATGGATGATGGCACTTCTTCTCCCTGCTGGGTCACCTCGTCCTTTGAATCACAAGAGACTCTTGCAGAGTCAAGTTCACCACTTGCAATTGATTGTATATCATGTTCGGTAGAAACTATTCTATTTCTTAGAGTCTCCTTGTGCAGAGATGGGCTCCGTATAATAGCATCACTTCCAGAATTATGCTGCTCCTGGTTATTTGGAGAAGTGAGGTGTGACATTGTTGCAGGAGAAAACCGATGAGAGGAAACATCATCTTCAACAACCAATTCAGCCACATCCGAAGCCGCTTCTTCATCCTTCTCAGTTGACAACAGCTTCCAAAAATGGCAAAGGAGAATGATGATATTTACAAGCACCCCAACAAGCATAGCAGGGAGGATACCTAACAAGAATCGACCAAAAGATATTCCACTTTGAACAGCAATAACCAAATTTTGTGGGTTACCGATCGGGGTAGCTGAGGATCCGATGTTCGCACTTGAAGCAAGGGCTAGAAGAAAAGGTTGTGGTGGCAGATTGTTCTGCCTTGCAACCTTTAGCACAAATTCAGTGAGCACAACGCAACACGTATCGTTAGTGAATAGAGCACTGGAGATGGCAGAAACGATGCAGATTCGACACATCAAATCTTTCCCACCTCTGCTCTTCCAGGAGAGCAATTTGCCCAAATACTTGAACATGTCGGCCTTTTCAAGAAAGACGCTGACGACCATGGTTCCGAAGAGGAGGCCGAGGATGGGGAGGTCAATGGCAGAATAGGCTTCATCAGGTGTGATGACTCGGAATAGGACCATAAGCATTGCACCGAGAAGAGAGCCTGCAGTCCTTCCAATCGGTAAGAAGGAGACTGCAGGGAAAACGGCTAAGATCCAGAAGATGGCAAAAGCAACGGACCCCAAGGCTATCTTTGTAGTAGGTGCCAAGGCCATCTCTGAGGGACTTAGGAAATTCTCAGTATCTAACCAAGCCTAAGAGCTACCGAATATCGAGGACAAATGTACTACTGTATATGATTGTAGCTAGGTTGAATATGATTGCTGGAAAAATAAATAAATAAATAAATAAATAAATAAATAATTAGAAGAGATATAAAAGGGCCAAATCCCTCAGAAACTATAGATATCAATTCTTTTAATAGACAACAAAGTAACAAGCGAATCAAGGAAAGCTAATTTTCCCCACCTTTTTGAGGGGAAAAATATAAGGATACCTGAGGATTGTCAGAAAGGAGCTTTGACAAGGTTGTTCTTCCATGCCACCCATGTTCCATTGATACAACGCCTCTAGTCAACATCCGACTTTGGACACACAATAAAAACAAAAACCCATTATTTGGGGGAAAAAGAAAAAAGAAAAATACCAATAGAAGATGAAGACAAAGCTGAAC